TAAAGTAAAATGAAGATTGAATGAAATATTTGATATGCATATATTTAAAAATAATTTTTCATCCAAACTGGCCTAAAAATTAATCAACTGATCCAAACTGCACATAATGGGCTTCTACTGCATACACTACATACTATAGAAAGTGCTGGTGTGGATCAGTAAGAAAGAGGAACCCCCTAGAAAAAAAAAGAGAATTGTAAATTGGCCTTCTCCAGAAAAAGAAATAAACTTGATGAATAAAAAAAAGATGCTCAAAGTCAGTCTAATAATTAGGGAAATGTAAACCATTTTCACTAAATACATTGGAAAAAAATGAAATAGAATATCTACTTTTACCAAACTGGCACCTATGTCTGTGTAACTTTTTTTGATAAAGAATACCTAAATCTTCCCATTTTACAATGTGCCTATATTTTGACTCAACAATTCTAAAACACAATTCTAGGTAAATATATAAAGTACATAAAGCTATGTAAAGTTTCACTGCAGTCAGACTGTTTGTAATAGTGAAAACTTGGCAGCAACTTAAATATCCTTCAGTAGGGGAATGTTTAAATAGTACTGTAGAATGCGATGGAGAAATGGAAAAAGAAAAAGAAAAGAAAAGACCTTTCATATAGTCATATATAAACTGACACTGAAGCTCCAGAATATGTTGTTAAGTAGGAGAGGAGGGAGAAAGGGATGAGAAAAGTTGTACAACATCACTCCCTTATCTAAAAACAAACAAACCTTTATCATTTGTTTAGATAATAAAAGGACCTGATTGATAACACCAAGGATAGTTATCCCTTGAGGAAAAGGGAGTGGTGTGAAAAGAAGGCAGGAATTACTTCTACTTTTTTATGCTTTACATTGTTGACTGTATTTAACAATCTATAATATGCTTCTTTGTTAGTAATCACTCAGATTAAGAACATTAAACATTTGAGCACCACATTGGAGGGTAGTTATAATATGATTCCTTTATTGTGTAACAACACTGTGCTAGAAATGTATCCATTTCTTTAAAAAAAAAGAAATGTATCAGTTTGTACTGAGTTGGTTCTCAGGTGTTTTAAAGTAACTTTTTCTCCCGTTGTTGGAATACTATTTGTATTTTTAAAGTTTCTGCCCTGTAAAATGTAACCATAAATGAAAATAAAAGCACCATAATACCATACCCAGAGAGATCCACTGTCAACTTTGTGGTATACATGCCTGTGCACACATGTTTACACGTATGCATATGGACCTTTGCATGAGTAAGTACATATACTATAAGATCTTTTTCTAAAAAATGGGTTCTTACTGTACATACTGATTTGTAGCTTGCTTTCTTTAACTTGAAACTATACTGTGAACATCTTTCAGGACCAGAGTAACTCCAACTAAGTGAAAAAGATAGCTGATGGGAAAAGAGCAATATTTTACCATGTAAATACAGCATTTTAGTTAAATTATCTGCTTTCTAGGACAAATAATAATCTTGAAAAGATTATGGTCATCAAAAGTAAATGACCAAGGAAATATTAAGGTGTTAATGTTCAACCAGTTCAATTTTGTTCCAAATTTAACTATGAATATGTTACATTTATGTTTCACTTGATGGGGGCACATCTGACAAATGTGTTGTTCATTTTATTCATTGATTTTATCATTGTGCAAACATCATAAATTGTATATAGGCAAACCTAAATGATATAGCTTACTACATACTTAGTTGACATAATTTGTGTATAATATACTGTTATGTGATTGCAGCCAAATAGGTTTGTTTACACAAGCATTACTACAACTGTGAGTAATGTGTTGTGCTACAGTTTTACTAGGTTATAGAAATCTGTGAGCTCCATTACCATGGTCTTATGGGACCACCATAAGATATGAAGTCTGCCATTGGTGGAAATGTGATTATATAATGCTCAACTATATTTAAATTGTTTTTATTAACAATAAATGTATAAATAAAAATAGTAAAAATGTCATTAGGAATTGTTTTTGTGTGCAGCTTGGTTTTAATGAAGATTAAAAAAACTAAACATTAATGGTTATTTTTGTTCAAAGGAAAAAACGCTGTGTCTTGTTTTTGGCTAAAGATATGCATGGCAAGTTATATTATTTTAAAATTTAAAAAACAATCTAGGTATTTGTGGTAACACAAGTCTTTGTCTATATCTCAGTATATAGTATATAAAATTGAATCTTAGGAAAACGTTTTTCAATCTCAGTTTATAGTATATAAAATTGAATTTTAAGAAGACCCTGTTTGATTTGGGCAAGTATGTTTGTATGCTGCTTTCTCACATCATTTTTGTATTTGTTGAGTTTAGGTAAACATTATGATCACATTCATCTTAGGGAATTTGTATCTGTGCATGATATGTCTTGATTCTTATTTTTTTCCCATTTCCCTTCCTTCCCTTCCACTCCACCTCTTGTATTTACTAAGCTATGTTTCCATTATTTCCTCCTTTTCTCATTTTTTCACATCATTATTAAACATTTCACTTGCATCATTTATTAAGCAAATCCACTAAAGGCCCATTACAGTCTCCTCTGGGTTTTTGCTCTGGGACATAGAGGTGAAAATGCATTGTTTCATGATGGAAGCTTTTTATTCTTTTCATCATTTTCTACAAATTTAATAGGGCATTTTATAAAAGAAAGTTCTACCTTGTGGATAATGGTGTTAATGTAAAGGCTCTTCATAGCTATTCAGGTGTTTGTTATAGTGAATGCAACAGCCCCTATTTTCTTATACTATATGCATCTTGGCCTTTTTGGAATTAATTTCATAACAGGAGGATTTTTCTCTCATAGGTGCTATCAAGTTAGACTTTACAGGGAAGTTAGGATAGAGATTTTCTATTTCTCAATGAGAAGAGGATGTGAAATTAGACTACTAATAATGTGTTAAGTGTTAATGGTGGATTGTAATAGTTGTTATGAAGTTAATGCAGTGGGGTAGCTAGGCGAAATATCTGTTTCAGGTATTTTGTTTATTATCTTTAATGTATGCTTGAACTATTTTAATACAATACAAAGTAATGATAGAATTTAGAAAGACCTCTTGCTTGGGGGAACTGAGTGATTTGTCTTCAAAGAAAACCTTAGAAATGGGCACAGTTGCTACTGCTGGGAAGATGACAATCCATTGTGCTCAGAATATGTTAGTCATTTCTAATTCTCAAATGAACTAAAAGCTGAAAGGTTCCCTCAGATCGGAAGCAGAAACTTGGTAAATAAATGAATTTAAAATATAGTCTTGGCTTCAAGAATAAAGAACTCACTTTAATATCATATGGGGTGAATCCAAGCAAAAGGTGCTAGGTTCCACATGACTATTAAAGATACTAAGTTGAGAAGCAACTTAAAAGAATAGTTGAAAATAATCAGAACTATACTGAAAGATGGAACTGGGCAGTAGTAACAACTATTGTCAGATGAATATATTACAGACAAATGGAGCAAGAAAGAGCAAAGCATGGCAGGGATAATGATATTCCTACAGCTGGAACCATAAATTGGTTGTAAATCCAATGGTAAGATTAGTCTAGGATGGTTTAAAGTCTTTAGTGGAATATTTGGGGTGACAAAAACACTGGGTACCAAGTGAAGACCAGACAGGTTGTAGACGGTGTTTAAGTCTCCCCTGTGCCCAGACGATTTCTTATATGTAGGTTAGATTTTCTGTAGGTTAGTTGTTTCCATAACCTGGAAACTAAAAAAGGCATGGCTAAAGTGTGCCTTTGGTGAATTATGCAACCTTTAATTGGGAATCTAAGTAGTGTTTATTTCCCCAAATAGAAATGTCAGCGTTAGCATATTCATTCATATATAGTTACATGTTACACACTTTTAAGTACAATGACTGGCCTCCTAACTCAAAATTTCCCCTAGAATATTTTAGACTGCTCTGATTAGATTTTTTATAGTGTCAGACATAATGGCCAGGATTTTTATGTGGAAGCAGATTTTTCATTTATATACATATTTAAATTAATTTTAACATTTTCTTCATTATCAAGAGATTACATATTATAGGGGAGCAACTTTCTTTAGGAAATAACCCCCAGATAATTCAGTAGTTTCCTTTTATCTTTGGTTTCACTTTCCATAGTTTGAGTCACCCCTAGTCAATTGCAGTCCGAAAATATTACATGGAAAATTCCAGAAGTAAACAATTCATAAGTTTTAAATAATTTTTATTATAGCTTATCATGATTATATTTTATTATTAATTATTATTGTTAATCTCTCATTTTACCTAATTTACAAATTAAACTTTATAATAGATATGTATGTTTAGGAAAAAGTATACTACTCTAGGGTTCAGTACTGTCCACAATTTCAAGCATGTGAGGAATATTTTGGAATGATCCCCCATAGATTCCAGGGGCTACTATACTTCCTTATAGGTAGTATCCATTATAAGAGACAGCTACAAAATGAAATCCTTCATGGCGAATCCCCCACCTTTTGTATTTTGAAAATGTTTTGAAATGGAGTTCCCCAACACTACTTTTACTCCTCAGCCATCTCTTTTCATTTGTTTTGGGACTTGCTTGGTTAGATCTCAATGATTAGCAATTCTCAGCCCCAGGAATACAAAATAGTGGGGTTAAAAAGACACACCAACCTTGCCAGCTGTTTTGAAACCTAGCTCAGTAGGGATATAATATGGAGGTATAAATAGACATAAGTGCTCCACAAAGGTAATAGCTGTGGCACTAGTGAGGAAAACATTGCAGTGGTAGGATAGCTTCCCCAAACCTTATTGTTTTATTTTTGTAGTACCATGCATTTTTGCCATCATTATTTGGTTACATGGAATATCTCTGTGGAGTGATTGGGCTATAATTGTGATGATAATATTTAGTAAGATGGGAGATTTGTTCCTAAGATTCAGACAGCTGAAATGTTTCTAAAAAGAAAACCCTGGCCCTAAAAACCATATTTTGTTTTTGGTTTGATTTAGCCTCAGAGAGATAAAATGTTTCCTTATATCTTGTTTTCAGTTATCCTCAACTGGAAAAGATTGCTGACCACCTCCATGGACTACCTCCAACTTTGAAGGGTCACCTTACTCAGGGCACTGCCAGCAGGAAAGAGAAGGTGAATGCTATACTAGGGCATTAGCAAAGATGAGGAGGAAGTAGCAGGGAATTTATGGTCAATAGCCGAAATGTGCCTTTAGTTTTCCAAACTACAAATCTCAAATACATTGTGTATATTCAAGAGATATATTAAAAAAGTTGTAATGTATAAGTTCCTTAAAGTAAGTAGAAAACAGAGTAGCTATGCAGTGTTTATTTTGATGATCATAGCTTCCAATGAAAAATCTGCGAAATTGAGTCAAAAGTCATATTTTCAAAGGTGAGACTATTATATAACACTCGCATAGTAGTTGTTTTCAAGTTTGAATAATTTTGCATCATTCCTAGCTAAGGCAACAAATACTTAAGGTCATTTTATTGGTGTAATATTTTCTAGATTCTATAATGTTTTGTCACTACATCTGGGGAAATGTTTCATTTTGCATTAGGATTCACTAGGAACTGAAGATGAAAAATTAGTTCTTTAAACTTGTGGACTCTGCTGATGACCTACTTCTATCTCTTGAATTAAAAAAAGCCAATGGTATTTTGAAATAGTACAGTTGCCTTTTTGGCTTGTATGAAATTGCCCTTTTGAATGACCCTCTAAACTTTTGAGGTTTGGTCCTTGGCCAGGTCTTTGGCCACATTCTGCTATTACTAGACTACTTTTTCCTTGCTTTCACATGCTGCAACATTGCTGGTGAAAGATCAGGATGTTGTTTGGACAGGGCATCAGGCCCTAAACCTCAACGTTGTTCTCTTCTACATTTAATATAGTGGCCCAGGTAACTGAAAGATGAGGGTATTGGAAGCAGTTTAATAATATATTTTCTTATTCTTTTAAAAAAATCCTGGAAACTTACTTTTTTTACTGTTTTTTTTTCTTTGTACTGGTGATTGAACTAAGGACCTTGTATTTGTGAGGCAGGGGCAGTGCCACTGAGCCAAATTAAAAAAAAAACAAAAACAAAACCCTGGCCTGTAAGACACTTTCATACAACTGGCAGAGTTAGAGTTGATGTTTAAGTACTCAAGCACTTCTCATTTAATCTATTTTTAGAGTTTTTATTTTATTTTTGTAGTGTTGGAAATTGAACCCAGTTCCTTGCACATGCTAGGCAAGTGCTCTGCCACTGAACTATGCTCCCAGCCTCAAGTTTGTACTTTAGAACTGTGCAGAAGTGTCTTATATTGAGGCATTTAAAATCAATACTTAGGTAATGAAACCTCCCCTGGTTGTGTTCCACAATGAAACTATCCTCTTCCAAATTTTATGTTTGTTGGAATCATAACCAGACAGGCAAGTTGTTTTTAATAGCTGGCTAGTCTATCTAGATAAAACTGATCGAGACTTTTGAGTTTTCTGTGCTTTTTGATGCTGCATTTTTCTTTCTTCTCTTAGAAACTCACTTTCATCCTTTACTTTGCATATGTTAATATGCCTCAATATTTCAAATGATTTAAAAATAAAATCTACTTTTAGGCAAGCCAGTTAATAGAGTGATAACATGTATAGCTGCATAATTTCAGGGGTAGCTCTTATTATTAACTTTTAAGAAGGCCTATAGTCATCTGCTTGGGCTATTATTAGAGGGTTGAGGATTATAGGTTGAGAATTCTACCTGTATGTCTAGTTCTCTGCTTTAGGCTGCTATCTGCTTAAAATACTGGCCATTGAACAGTAAGCTCCATTAGGACAGAGCATAGTATATATTCATTAAATATTTTTTCTTTACTTCCCCTCCTTTCTTCTCTCCCTCCATCTCTTCCTTCTTTTATACTGCTGGGGATTGAATCCAGGGCCTTATGCATATAATGTAACTACTTTAACAATGAGCCAACCACCCCCACCCCTTTTGTAGTACTGGAGATTGAACCCAGGACCTTCATACTGAGCTATATCCTCAGCCCCTTTAAGTTTTTAAATTTGGGATAGGGTCTTGCTAAGTGTGTAAGTTGCCCAGCCTGGGCTCGAGCTTGTGATCCTCCTTCCTCACTCTCCCAGAGTATTGGGATTGCAGGAATGTGCTGCCACACCCCAGCTAACGTATTTCTTAGACAAAGGTGTGCACATGCACTTGTAACTACACAGGATTTGGAAAAATACTATGAATGCAAGAGGTCTCTATGTATTCTTAACTTTTAATTCATTTCCTCTCTAATTGTATACATTATTATGATGGATAGTCTTCATGTATGCCATTTATATAACCAAATAAAATAGAGATTTAACCATTTATCTCTTGCTTTAGTGAGCCTATGCACAGTAAGATGGCATCGCTTTCATATTTAGAGGAGGTTAGCTATTATAATTGTTTTTACAGCTTTCTGTTGTAATGCTAGAAATTATAGTAACTTACTTGTCAAAGAATTTATTCTGCTGTATTTTTTTTTTTTTGTACCAGGGGTCAAACTTGGGCCCTTGCACTTGCGAGGCAGGCGGCGGAACCACTTAGCCAAATCCCTAGCCCTATTCTGCTGTATTCTTGTTTATGTATTAGGGATGGCTTTAACCAAATGGATTCTTTCTGCTAGATTAGAAAAATTTTAGTTTGTGTTTCTCTTCTATTTTAAAAATGTGATCTCTCCTTCTCTCTCCTGTCTCTCTTCTCTCTCTTGCTTCTCTCTTCTCTCCCTAATCTGCCTTCCCTAATAAAATCTCCTGTCGGAAAAAAAAATAATAAAAATGTGATATCATTGTATGGCTTATTTTTAATAATTCTAATCTGATAGAAAATTTATTGAAGATAGTTCAGAGGTTCCATGTATAAATTCTCTCCAGCTTCCCCTAATGTTAACATTTTATATAACACTGGGTCTATACAACTGACTAAACTATAGAATTTATTTGGATTTCTCTAAATTTTTCTCCCAGGGTCATTTCTTTTTCTGTTTCAGGGTCCAAAAGTATTATACAGATTTATTTTAGAAAATGTATGTAAATAAAATAATAAAAAAAACAAAATATGGGTAATAGTTCACTTAAAGACAACTGATATTTTTAATATATATCCTTTAATGCTTTTTTATATGCAGAATATAAATGCACTGCTCTCAACATTGTCTGGACTTCTCTTGAAGATAGATTACAAAAATACTTTATATAAGAGTTTTAATTTGCTTTTTATACTTAATAATATAGCATTTACTTTTTTTGGTGAACCTCTTCTCATGTCCGCTGATTTTTAATATACTTTATTCCCTATCTGTGATATTTTGTCATATCCTTTCCTTTACTCGTTTAATTCTTTACAACTTAAGAGGTCAGTTGTGTGTGTATTCTTAACCTTTCCCTTCTTAACAAATGAAAAAAGTATGGCAAACTCTTCATCAGTAACAATGGCTCAATCCGATGGTTATTCTCAGTATGTGTATGTTAGGATTATAGTCTATGTACATAAATTTGAGAAAGCTGATATATCTGAAGTTTCATCTTAGACCAATTTAACTGCATTTCTTACAGGTTTTCTCATGTTCTTAAATACTGTTTGACAATGGTATATTCAGTAGCTCTGTATATTTGATCCATAGAGACATCATTATTTTACCAATTGCTTTTTGGGTCTTTGAAGTTGTTGCTAATTTTGCTATTCTCTAAATCACATTGGTGACTATCTTTTATATTTTTCTCATTACTGCCTATGGTTGTTCCTAGAAATAGGAATTGAAGTTACTAGATCGTGAGAGTATGACTTAAAGCCTCTTAACACATATTGCCAAATTGCTTTCTATAAAACTTGCCAATTTCCACCTCTGTCAACAATATGTCAGATGGCCTTTTTTTAAACCTTTGACAACATTGAGTAATTTCCTTATTTCTAATTGGCCCTACTTTTGTGTGTGTGTGTGTGTGTGTGTGTGTGTGTGTGTATGTGTATGTATGTAGCCGGGGCAGGTCTTGAACTCACTATGTAGCCCACGCTGGCCTCTAACTCTCAGTGATCCTCCTGCCTCAGCCTCCCAAGTGCTGGGATTACAGGCATGCACTACTGTGCCCACTAATCAGCACTACTTTTAATGGAGCCCTAGCCCATTGCTGGCTGTTTTAATAAATGACATTATTTGTAGCAAGAATGAAAGTAATGCACAGAACTGGTAGCCCCAGGCAATACTTGGGGAATCTTTGAAGCAGGCCTTATTTAGCTCTGAGTCTGTTTCTAAAAATATATATATTTTCTTTTCTCAGATTTATAGGGAACATACACATTTTTCCTAAAATTATTAGCCTATGGGTGTTTACTGTTCACTAAGTTAGTCGTTGCTGTGTGTTTGGTTATCGAGTCATGTTTTTGTGGTTTTTAAAAACAAAGCATAACTTCTGGTCAGAATTGCACAAATTTTGTGGAACCTCATGATTGTTCCATGGGAGTAATATCTCGTCAAGATGACTTAAGTAACAAACACTACTTACAGGTATTATTCAGGTTGTTAGTATTTCAATGAAAGCCTTAGAAATTCAGATTCATGGTTGTACTAACACATTTCTTGGATAAACTTGGGAAAGATTTGTGTATTCAATCTATTTGTCCAGAATATTTTTTTCTCATTGAGTTTATACTCAAGTTTTATTGGTACTTTTTAAGTATTACAGCACAGTTACATTCATCATTGGGATCTTGTACTTGTCCATGACAGGTCTTGGTTTTTATTTTTTCCCCATACCCCTTTCTTCACCCTCTCCACCATTCTGCATTTACGAAGACTTTGTTTCCATTTTTTTCCTTTTCTCATATTTTTTCTTTTCCCTTATTGTCCAGAATATTTAGAAATCAGTATTTTAAGATTCCTGATCTCTGAGTCAATGATTACCACTGTGATAAAAGTTTTTAATCTATTGAAAGTTTTTCATTTAGTGGTTGTTTTAAAATAGTAGGTAGATGACAAAAATATGATTTATTGATGCTTTATGATAAAAATTATTATTTAAATTTAATTTATACATTGAGAGCTTTAAAATAATGTATTTTCCTTTTTTTTGTACCGGGGATCGAACTCAGGACCTTGTGCTTATGAAGC